GTATAGTATGTGTGTGTGTGTATATATATATATATATATGTGTGTGTGTGTGTGTGTGTGTGTGTATATATATATATACACACACACTTAGTATATAGCTCTACATCATATATATATTAGTATATATTACTACATATGCTATATTATATAGCAATACAATATATAGTATATATTATAGACTTATGTAATATATTGGATATATACAACAGATGCTATATGTAACAGTATACAGGAAAATATATAGTATATAAGAACTATATGTATTGTATAGATCTCTATATTATATAATGTATAGTATATACCATTATATATAATATAGCAAATATAACATAGTATATTACATACTGCATATAATATATAATAGATATATAGACATTATATTTGTGTCAGTGAAAAACCCTAAGGAAGAAATGAAGTGAGAAGGGAGGGGAAGGAAAAGAAAAATTCAAAAAGGCTGGTGGTAGAACTTTATTTCTATTTCTATGGTTTCCAGAGGTTAGAATGCAAGGGCTGTGCTACTGATATTCTGGGGTAGCTTTGTTTTTTGTAAAACAGCATAATAATCTCTACCATAGTTAGTTTCTCAATACAAATGAATGAATTGATCAATCAATCAATCAACATTTCTGTGTGGACTCAATGCAATTTCTGCGCCTCCTGGACCCACCATGAAATCGATTGTCTTATGCTTTGTGTTTTCAGTAACAATTTTATCTAGTCATCCTTAGGTGAATTGTGAGACTCTGGGGTGTTGATTCTCAGTAACAAAACTTTAACTCGTGAGGCAGAAAATCAATTTGATAAATTATATTTAGGACATCAGTGGCAGGGTTACCAGAATACTTGGTGTTTTCTAAGAATATTTCCAGGGGAAAGAATACCAACAGGGCTGGGGATGTGGCTCAAGCGGTAGTGCGCTCGCCTGGCATGAGCGGGGTGCTGGGTTCGATCCTCAGCACCACATAAAAAAATAAAATAAAGATGTTGTGTCCACCGAAAACTAAAAAATAAATATTAAAAAATTCTCTCTCTCAAAAAAAAAAAAAAAAAAAAGAATACCAACATATGAAGATAGTTTGATGAAAAAGATTCAGGGCTTTGGGGGCTGGGGTTGTGGCTCAGTGGAAGAGTGCTTGCCTAGTAGGCATGAGGCACTGGGTTTGATCCTCAGCACCACATAAAAATAAAATACTGTGCCCATTAAAACTAAAAAGTAAATATTGAAAAAAATAAAAATAGAGATTCAGGGCTTGAAATATATATATATATATATTGGCACTTAGATGTAGCTAAACAAGATAAAGTGGGGCTGGGGATGTGGCCCAAGCGGTAGCATGCTCACCTGGCATGCGTGCTGCCCGGGTTCGATCCTCAGCACCACATACAAACAAAGATGTTGTGTCCGCCGAGAACTAAAAAATAAATATTGAAAAATTCTCTCTCTCTCTCCCACTCTCTCTTAAAAAAAAAAAAAAACACTAAAAAAAAAAAACAAGATAAAGTAGGACTGAGGTGAGGAGGAGGCAGATGTCATTGAGGGTTAGATCATGAAAAGTAACTAGTAATCCATATCAGAGTTACTTGGAGCCTTACATCCAACTATAGAGAAAGTATTATTCTCTAATATTTTGGTATTTCACAATGCAGATTCTGTGACAATAAAGCTAAGCAGGAGCAGGACCATGGCACCTTGGGCAAAATACACAGCAGGAACTTGGGCTCCTGGTAGACACAAAGGATGAGAACAGGAACCAAGCATTATTATCTAGAAACAATTATCTTCAGGCCAGGATAGGAACAAGCCTGAGGGATACATTTTATCTAAAGAGAGGAATGAGGGTGAGGGGTGGTAAGAAACAACATGAGCAGCAGCTTCGGGGCCAGGAAGCCTTATAAGGCTCAGGGTATCCTATGCAGGACTCCAGTCTTGAAAGAACCCAGTCCCTGGATAAATAAAGTAAAACCTATAGTTCTCTACCAAGGTGATGCCAATCTAGGCAGTCTTTGGCATTGCTCAAAATCCATATTGTTCAATAGAAATATAATGCAAACCAAATATGAAAACTTTGTAGTAGCTTTATCTTTAAAAGTAAAAAGAAGCAGGGGAAGTTAATTTTGATAATTATTTTATTAGACCAATGTATCCAAATATTATTTCAGCATGTGACTCTACATTTCAAGTGGTCTAAAGCCATGGGTGGCTTGTGGCTACCATATTATACACCAAAGCACTGGACCACACTAAAGGCAAGATAACAAGATCTACTAATGGGCTTGTATTTTCAAAGTTACTGAGGGCTTGTTACTGTAACATCTCCAATTATAATTTTGAGGAATACACTTTACAGTTTACTATCTTAAAGAGCAATGCCTTCATCCTAGGTTTAGTTCTGGCCTCTACCCATTAGTTGTGTTGAGCAAACTGCTTAATCTCTTTGAGTCTTACTTTTCTCATCAGTCACAAGAGCAAAATAAATGCCCTTCCAGTAGATAACCACATTCTATTTTTTTATTGCTTTCTTATGGGGAATTGTCTAGTGTTCAGTTCTCATCTCTTGATGATTTTAATTATTTCCTTAATACAACTCTGTCATTTCTTAGCACACTCACAGGCCTGAGAAAGAGTAGACGCAACCACTCTGATCTCTTTTTTCCTCCAAATTCTTCTGTAAGCACAAAGTATTCAGTAGACCTGCTTCTTTGATTTGGTGGTACGTGGGAGACCAACCTTACTCGTGACTGAGTCACACTCCCCGGCTGTGTGCTGAGGCACTCAGTCACAGAAATGTGGCAAAGCTTTCCCCACCCTTCTCGGGTCTGAGGGTTGGTGTCTCGTGCATGGATGTGTCTTGCTACAGCCCCATGGGTGAAGCTATGCTCACCTGTTCCTTTGTAATATAACCCCTTGCCCTGTTTAGGATAGAATCTTCCATAGAAGTGCCTTGTGTGTGTCTCCTTCTCTTACTGTGCCCTTGGGTGTGGCCTACCCAGGTGTCAGTCAACCTGCTAAAACAGTGGACATCATGAAGATAGAAGATTCCCTGAAACCTGACCCCTTGCCTCATTTAAATAACTTCTCCTCAATAAAGGGTCAGCGCGTGCTCTAGCTCTGTCTTCCTGCAGACCCTTAAGGTCAGAGGAGCCGTCACAGCGACCCCAAAGAAAAAGGTATTGTATCTCTTGTGTAGTTATTTCGTGCAGCCCAGTTAGCCCAGTTTAACTGGAGTGACCCCTGAGCCTTTTAGTCGTGAGAACAGAAACCCAGCAGTGGTATATTCTTTTCCTGTTCCTTATTAGTTTTCAATATAAATTGTAATAGCACCAGATTACAGATGGCCCAGGCCCTGAGTGCTGACTCAAAATAGATTAGATGCTGTCCCTCAAGAAATCTGACTAGGATTATCATTGAGCCCTACTCCATAGAAACTTCCAGTTTACTGCTTTTCACCTCCAGATTCTATAGTCCTTGGACCTAAAGAAAAGGGAGCAGATCTATAGGTTGGCTGAAATTTTCTGTGGAGCAAAATACAATTGTCCTTGATTATCACTGATATTTCTTTCACAAATTGCTAATACAGAGAATGTATATTATTATCCACTGTGTTAACATTTAGTGGTTTATATGTATGAGCAAGTTGTTTCTGCAACTAGATTATAAGCTCCTTGAACGCACAGATCAGGCTTCTAATGAAGATTAAACCTCCTCCCAAAGTCACTGGACCTTATATCTTCTACAGTGCTGTGCTGGAGATGTTACAGGAGGGGCTCAGGCACTAATCATAATTGCCTAATGACACATGGTGGTGCTTTCTGATCTATAGAAACTAGTTGAATACAGGTGCCTGAACCATTAGTGTCTGGGCTTCTCAGCAAGATTCATCAGATTCTGCAATGCCTTCCTCTGGCATACTCCCAGCCTTGGAGGCAACCACCAGGCATATTTCCAGGTCTGCAGAGACACTTTGGTCCATTTCCGGTTACTGCTTGAGTTGGCACAGGTAAGGTTCTATAGCCACACACAAGCCCACACAATCCAATTCCCCTTCCATAGACAATTTTCCTGGGGGTACATGAAGGATCACCCATAATCATACTGCTGAATCACAGCCAGTACAAATCCCAGATCTGCTTCCCACCCTGTTTCCTTTTTCCATGATACACATTACTCATTGCAAGGGGACAGACCTCCTTCGGGTGTCTTGAAGAACAAAAAAAAAAAAAAAAACCAAGATCCCAAGTGGTGATTCTCCAAATACAGATTGAATTATTTTAACTATAAGTCAGGAGGTAAAGAGGATAGTGGAGGATAAGTGGGTGAGGGCAGAAATAGATAGGTGAGTGACTATCCTGCTTTCAAAATTCATGATGCCACATCAGATACTCACTCCGCTAAAGAAAAGTCCCTGCAGGGGGGCAGGTTAGGTTAGGTTTGACTAGGCCAGGAGTACGGGGAGATGGAGAAACCTGCAGGGTCCCACCACAGTTCCTGCACTTACCACCATCAACACTTTAGGGGTGGGGCCCTTAATTTCCCGCGGGAGGCTGCCGAACTGCTGGCTGTACATTTTCCCCTCCGTTGGTCGGCGGTGGGCAACCACTGTAACCTTCCTGACCGGCTTCCGCAATGCAGAGATCTGGTTGCCATGGTGCACCTCGAGGGGTGCGGGTGGATCCGGCGGAAGTCAGTCTGGTAGCCATGGGGGCCACAGACGCTGGCACACAGGACTTCCTCTAACAGCCCAGGATCCGAGTCTGCAAGTCGTCATCCCGCCCAGGCCAGACCTCCCACTTCTAGGCTCAGCGGAAATGGCAGGGGGTGGGGATAGCTCTCTAACTCAAGGGAAGTCGAAGGTCTAATTACAATTCCAGTTGCTGTTTGTAGACTAACAGGCCTAAAAGGATGGGAAAAGTTAGTGGACATTCTATGGGAAGGTTAAATTTTGAATCGTCTACAGGTTATTTTTGGTAATGGCGATATTAATCATCACAGGACCACCTTATATTTGTGTAGTTTTTTTTTTGTTGTTGTTTTTACAATTTGCAAGGTATTTTTACAGATACAACCTTGGAGCTTGACAAATATCTTACAGAGTTGACAGAACAGCAGATATTATCCTCATTTAGAGCGTAGTGGATTAAGGCTCAGGGAGCCAAAGTGCTTTATCAAACTACCCAACCAGTAATAATAATCTGTTAATAAAATTTTCCTACTGCACTGGGCAGAAACCAGGGTTTAGACTTAGGATTTTCTTAGGAAGGGGGGGCAGATCAAATGAGCTGGTGGGGCAGAGGCATTACCTGGCTGGGCAAAATAAAGACCAAAAAGAGTCTGAATCAAGGGATCACAGTGGACCTAGGTCAGGATGCAAATTCAGAAGTCCAGGTGATCATTTCCTGAGAATCAGGATCCCTGGCAGAACTGCAACACAGATCAGGGAACTGGATCTGGCAGAGACCTCAGCACAGGTAGAAGCCACATTTGTATTTCCCCTCAAGAGCATGAAGGTAGTTAATACATAAAAGCCAATTAAGAATGACTCTTTGGCATTCCCATTCTAAAGTGAGGTTGAGCATAGAACACCAGAGCACAGAAGGGAAAAACCAGTAACTACGCCAGTTATGAAGGTATACCAGTAACCAAAGTACAAACTGTGTATACCTTCTTAAGGCCGCAGTATACTGTAAATTCGCATTCCTTAATCATTTGTAGTTCAACCACTTCGGTTTTCTATGTGGAACATTTCTAGATTTGGATTCCATATCCTGAATTGCTGGTTCAGCTTTTCAGCCACAAAATAATGTCTTTCTTCTCTTTTAATAATCTTTTAATAATTCATTTTTCTCCTATAATGCTTCTTCTTTCAATTGCAGTTCCGTAAAATACTCATTTTCATTTACTGCTAAGAGTTTACGTAGCCTGAAACAAACAAAAAAGAAAGAAATTAGGAAGTCTACTGGATTCACTGGAAGACGTCCTGGGGGGCGGATCCTTGATCTTTAAGTCTCCCAGGCACTGACTGGCCTGTAGGGGTGGGTCTGAGGGGAACCTCCCCAGCCCATATACCCTCAGAGAAGTGAGGCAATGAAAATGCTGTGCCCTCCATCCTCTCGGGGTTTGGGAAAGGCCACTGAGATTGGGCTGCCAGTTGGGTGCCCTCGAGGTTGTGCAGGCCAGAGGGTCCCGATGAGTTCTTGGAGACGACAGACAGGGAAGCCAATTGATGCTGACAGGCGGCTGCCCTCTGATGTCTCAGCGCTGGTTCCTGAGTTGATCATGCAGCACCCTCACCCTGGATGAGCCTGGTTATTTAACTCCAGTTCGATTTTAGTCCTTTACCTCTTCGAAAGGGGTAGTTGCTTCCCTCCAGGCCCTGTCCAGGGGGAGGCATTTGTGGTAAGTCTCACCCTAAGGCGGGACTGACTGCTGGCAGGCTCCCTAGCCCTGAGGAGATTGGAGGGCTGGGCCCAGTGTGAGTATCAGCAGCAAAAGCGCCTCAGCCTTTAGCCACCAACCACCCTGTGAGGCCTAGAAAATGATGCACCTTGGGGGTCCTTGGATAGAACTGACTTTGATCCTGCCATCCAATATCCCAGTTTCTTTGAGGCAATCACTGCTATCACCATCAAGTCACTCCCCAAAGAAACACTAAGCATATAAATCTATAAAGAGGACAATAAAAATCTCCTTAAAAGTAATTCAAAAATAGAACGGTTAGAGAACAGTTACTTAATTGTTTCCAATTTCTACTGTGCCCAACAATTCCCCTTAGTTTCTTAAATTTTACATTTTCAGCATTAAATTCCATGATAAATTTGGAAATCCATTCACCACTTGTAATATATATTGATGCATTTAATAAAACTGCATGGACCATATATTTTCTCATTTCTGTCTCCCAGTATTAAATACAGTGCCTACTTTGGACCAGGTTCTTAATACCTGAATGAATGACAAAAATAGCTGAAGACCAGCAAGTTTGTTCTGGCTTGATAGAATTTGTCTTGAGTTTTGTGTTTTCAGCAATGTAGTTTTATCAAGTTATCCTCAGTTGAGAAGTGAGACCCTTGGGAGCTGATTCACAGCAGGTTAGCTTTAAACGCATCATCTTGGCTGTTTCCCAGAACTCCCTTCCCCATACGCTTCTGGTTAGGATGGCCACATGAGGCATTCTGGCTGATAACTGGAGGGCAGAAGTGAAGCAGTAACATAGTTTACAGCTGGAAGGCTGGTGCAGGGGCACCAAAATGCAGTTGCTGTTCACACATGCTGTCACTTATCTGCAGGTCACCTCCTTGGTGTGGGGCAGCCCTGAGGCTTGCAGCCAGATCTGCAGCTGCTACACCTTCCCTGAGATCTTCCTTCAGTTTCTCTAATCCTGAGCCAGGTGCACATTTAACTCTGTGAGGAAAGGCACCAACTTCTTCTGCAGGACACCCACATCACTGAAGCAGGAGGTGATGAGAGACTGACATAGGTTCCAGGCAATCCGTGTGGGTCCCAGCTTGTGCTCATGGGCTCCAATGTGTCCTCCATCTCCCACAATTTACATCCATCTTCCCTTCCCGACTGCCTGCCCTGCAGACTTCAAGCTCCAGCATTAGATGCAAAGAAAACAGCCTTACAGAGACTGTTTAACCAGCTCCCACAATTATGTGAAGTCCAATCCTTCTAATAAATCCCTTAAAATATACATTATACATCATCTGTTTCTTGGTGGTCATGGTAATCACACTCTTCACTTATGAGTCAGAATGCCAATTAAATAAATTTCCCTTAGAACATCACTTGTCAGAATTATAGACTTACTAGGGTTCCATAGCGGGGACAGAGCAATATTAGATTATCTATTCTTGGCTATGGCTGAACTAGGTAGAGCAGGGTAAAGAATAGGAGAGTGTTAAGAGAGCTGAATCTTCTGAGTTAGAAATGGGAAATGACCAATCTAAATCAGAATTACCTAAAGTTGCAGGGCTAGAACTAGAGGAGGCAAGGGAGGCACTCACTGAGTCCTGGCCATGTAAAACTAAGTAACAAATTATATATCAAATCTTTTGGGCATTTCATGAATGAAGCATTAGAGTGAGGTAAGGCTGAGCCAGGCTGACCCTTGGGCAGAATTCACAGCAGGAATTCAGCCTCCTGGAAGACATTTGGGCCAAAGACAGGAACCAAGCACAAAGGTCATCAGAGGGCAGATGTACAGTGTCAGGAAAGATGAGCCAGGCTGGCAGCTTTAGTTCCAAAGAATGCTCTGACTGAGGAGGGGCAGTTAGGGTAACAACTAAATAGACAGTAGCCAATGGGAAGGGACACCCTTTAGGGTTTGAAGAATCCTATGCAGCATCCAGGGCCTATGGAAAACCCAGATTCTGGATGAACAGGTGCTCTGAAAAGGTCACCCTGTCCACATAATAGAGCCTTAGAACTCCCTAAACCATGCTAAAGGCAGGAGTGTAAAGGATTTATTATAGTATTAATAGCAATCCACTATATCTTCATTGTCACTGGAAACTATTACTGCAGTATTACACATTATTGCACATGGGATTGCAGTTAACAGTTTAGTGGCTTGAAGAACAAAGTTTTACAGCCTGGGTATAATTCTAGGTTCTAGCAACACTAGATTTTGATAATGGGAAATTCTTATCTTTTGAATCTCAATTTTCTCATTGGCAGAAGTGCACAAAATCGATGTCTTTTTAGAAAGACTGTTTTGAGGATTAAATAAATGGGTCCATAGGAGGAGTTCACCAAACAGCGGTTCCTTTCCTTTTTTCATTTATTCACATTGCATTTTCAATACTGTCTCCCTGAGAAAATGTTTAGAGACACTGCTATGTCTCATCCAGAAGCCACTTAAAATTGTTTATGAAGATAACTTGTTTAGGTTCTTTGTGGTGGCTTTAATTACATTCCCTTCCTCACCCCAGCTCCCCCACCCCTAACACCCAACTTCTCATCACCCTCAGACCCGGGAGCAGATGCACCAACTTTCTCCCCTGACTTTCTCCTCCTTTTGGGCTTGTTTCCTCTAAGCTCCAAGTAGGAAGTAGGCCTGCTCCTTGGGTTTGCTGGTAGGTTTTCCTCCTACAGTTGATCCACATACAAGCCCTGCAACCAGTCTAGCCCCTTCCAGCCCCTGGTAGATCATGGTTGTCTCTCACAAAGCCGGTCTGCATGTATCACCTTGAGTCCTACAGTCTGCAGAAGCCTCCAGTCTACTGCTTTCTAGCTCCAGGTTTTTTAAGGTCCTTGGACCTAGAGAAGAGGGAGCAGTTCTGTATGTTGAATGAGGTTTGCTATGTGCAAAATGGAGCATCACAAAACCATTTCCTACCATTCTGCATCCTCCACCCACTTTCCCTTAATCATCCTATACCTCTTTCTTTCTTCTAAAAACCACCAATACTGACAGCCCAACACCTACCCTGTAGCATGTAATGATTTCATTATGCCCAGGGAATGATAAGCTCCCTGCAGGTAGGGATCCTGTCTCTTCTGAAGGGCAAGCCTTACAGGGCTCAGTGTAATTAGAGTAGGATCTCTCTACACTACTATACACCCAGCAGGGGCTCAGTTAGTAACTCTCTCCCAGGTACAGACGGATCTGGTTTATAGGAACAGGGAAATCCAGTGCTTGCACTGGATTCTGTTGCCTGTGTCTGGGGGTTCTGTGCAGGGCCTGTCAACCTTCTGTAGGAGGCAGCATGCCATGGTCCTCCTTCAGCCATCCCAGTTCTTATAGGAACCTACCCTTCATCCTATTGCCAGGTCTAAAGGGAATTTTGTTCAGCAGCTGAAACAGTAATCTCAACAAGAAAGGCTCAAGGGAGGTAGCCTGAGCCCTTCTACAAAGGCTACTCCAGGAGGCACAAGACAAGCCAGAGGTCACACAACTGAGTGTGAACCCAGCTCACAGACCCAGATCAGGACCCAGAGCCTCTACCAACCTCACTGCCCAGGCTAGCCCAATGTCATTTCTGTGATATATGCTCTTCTCATCTTTAGGAGACAGCCTACCAAGGGGTCTCTGGGAGACTCCAAAGGCTGTTTTTCTGAATAAGAGTTTATATATCAAGTCTGACCCCTACAGAATTTTCTTAGAGAGGTAGGCACCAGACTCTCCTAATCTTTCTTTTTCTTTCAATCTCATCACATGGCATCAGGTCTTCTCCCCCTCCCAAAGTAGACCCTGACTTGGAACACTACTGGGCCGAGACTCTGGAAAAAGTTCTAGGGTATTGTGCAAACCCTGTCACCTGACCAGTAGTGAACAGTATAGTGAGTGTGAGTCTTCATCTCCTTCTGTACCCAAATTGCTGGCTGTACTTTCAAATCTCAGGGTCCACATCTGGCAGGCACCCTCCCCATCCCCACCCCTCACTGTGTGGGGCACACCTTGGCAACCAGACTGCTGTGTCCCGGAAGCGGGTTCCACCCAGGCTGAAAATCTCCGTGATCTAGGGAAGAATTAACATCATGGGTCAACATGGCTGGAGGGGCTAAGACAAGGTCAGGGCAAGATAGGGCATCCCCCAGCACTGACCACGGGCGTGCCAGGCCCTCCTGCCATCTCCTCCTCTGGGGCCGATTCGGAGACACAGCCATCCTTGTTCTCCTCCTTTCCCTCCTCAGGGTCAGGTGGCTCTTGCTTCACAGATGGCAGGCACAGGTCTATTGCCTGAGAGAAGCAGGGGAAGGGCAGTGGTTAGAAGGATAGGGTTGGCCTAAGGAAAGTCTGTCAGCCAAATGGTCACTGTGTTGACAGATCCCACTTCCATCATAGTTTAGCACAGAAATGCCACCTTTCTGCCTACAAATCTTTCCCATTCTTCACTAGCCTTCATTTTCCTGTTAATTGAACTGAAAGTGGGTATCTAGTTGCACCTACCCTGCTCACAGTGCCACCATCATGGCTCACCACTACTCTGCTTATAGACCATCCCACTATGGCACCAAAAGAACACCCATCACTGTTCCCACCTTGCTAGGGCAGCCAGGTTGCAATGTGGGAGAAGTCAGGACAGCTATATCCGATGTCCACTCTTCCTGGGCATCTGCTTTCTCTTGCTTTACCTGAGGTAAGGCCACAACCCAACTCAGGCCAGAGCACTGGGCTTCCTGCATGAGGGAGGATGGTGGCAGACTTGGTCTTAGCACCCTGACATCAGGCTGAGTGGGATAGTAAAGGGAGGATAAGATGGGACTCTCACCTGCAATGGGGCTTCTGTGGAAGCTGTAGCAGGGCCAGGCACCTGCACAGGACTGCTGGCACCCTCCCGTAAAAACACAAGGTCAGTGCCAGGAGGGGGCAGTACAAAGCTAGCACCTGCTTCCTGTTTCATTGGAGGCTGAGCACGGCCTGGTCGGGCTGTGCGAGTAGCCAAAGGGGGCTTCAGGGTGGGGGCCAGGTGGGGCCGTTGAACAGAACCTGGTCTCTTTCGACGAGGGTGAAGTAGAGGTGATCCTGCCCCCTCCTCGGACTCTGACCCAATACTGGGCAGCAGCCGCTTCTGTAAGGAAAGATAGGAGTACTATGGCCACCTACTGCCTTGACTGGCCCCATCCACCCTACACTGTTCAGTGTGTATACTAACCTCCCATTAGTCCCAGCACAGAAATCTACTTACATGAGCCCTTATCACTGAGCCTACCAGTTTCCATTAGCAATGCCAGTGCCACCTAGACTCCTACCCCAGCACAAGGTCTGCTAATTCTTTGCCAGAGCCACTGTACCACCCAACCACCTACCAGGCCTGCCCGCCACTCTCAGACACTGGGGTGCCTGGCCCAACCTATCCCCTCCACCTAACCCTTCCTCTGCCCCACCCACCATGGCAAACTGCAGGCATTGGCGCCAACGACACTTCTGGCGCTTCTGGTTGCTGCCCCCGAATTTGGGCTTGTCGCAGCAGAAGTCGCAGCGGCCACAGTCCATCCGCCGTAGGCAGGCTGCACAGGCCCCGCACTTGCGGTTCTGCCGGCGGTTCGTGTAGGGCTGCTGGGTGGGGGGGAATGGTGGTGCTGTCACTAGGACTAGGAGAGGCCATCCTCAACACCCATTCCACTACTATTTCTGGTGTTCTTTTAGCTCTATCAAGGGAACCAGCTGCACACTAATCTCAACCTGCTGACTTCCCATTTGCCATAAATCAGTGTCTGCAAGTCCGATAACATTAGAACTATGGATGCTCCATCACAGTGCAGCTATCAACGCTGTCTTTGATTCCTCACTTCCAGCAGGATTCTGCTGACCCCACTGGCTTCAATCACCATGTCAGCTATGTCTGCTCATCCTACATGAACTCCAGTCACTATGCTACCTGCTCCTCTATCAGCCCTATCATGGGTGTGCTGGTCCTGCATTAACCACCAAGTGTTGGTTCATCTGACATTAGGCACTCTCACTGCACCTGCTGATCCCATGTCATTCCTCCCCTCCATTATTGCTCATCCCATCCTGGTACCCATCTCCTTCCTTGGGTTAACCAAGCATCTTGAGAGTCTAGGCTTATCCAGGTAGGGTAGGGCCACTCACTAGCTCGTCCTCGTCTACACAGTAATAGATGAACTCAGCAGGAGGTGAGGGCACCGGGGAGTTGTTGTGCTGCAGAGGCAAATGGGGCGAGGTCAGGGCAGATACTGGGATAAGGTGAAGGTTGTGCTTTCCCCTGCCCACTGAAATCTTACCAGCTCCATGGGCTCTGGGGGGTCTGGAGGCTGCAGTGTGGGAAGAATAGGCACTGGCTGAGCTCGAGAGTGTCGTCGGGCAGCCATCTTGGAGTCACGGCCTCCCCTGTGGCATCTACGTTTACCCTGGGAGACAGCCAAAAGAGTTGATTAGGGCTTCATGGCACCAGGCGAACACAGAACCCCTTAAAGTGCAGAAAGCATGCATGGGACAGGTAGAAAGTGTGTGCTGTGGGGCACTCACAGCATGGGGAGTCACCGCTAGGGGAGGTGTTACTGACATCGCCAATGATGGCGATGGTGGCAGTGAGCAAGGTGCTGGCATATAAAGACAGGTAGGTGAGGTCAGGGAGGTGAATGTGGGGTGGGAGGGAAAAGAAAGACATGAGTTAGGCAAGGCCAGGTTGGGAGGAAGCAGCAGCAGCAGTGGCAACTTTAATAACAGAACGAGCTCTGGCCCGGCCAGGCCAGTGCTGGTCCCTCCAGCCTGACTCACCCGAAGGCAGCGCCGCTGCACACACCTCCACTGGCGCCTGAGACCAGGGCGGGGAGGGCGAAGGCAGACTCGGCAATGGCCACAGTCCTCTTGGGTCTGACAGCCCCGGCACACTCCACACCCTCGGCTCTGTGGGGGGGGGGGGGCCGGAGGTGTGATGCATGGGGTCAGGGCTATGAGGGCCAGGGGCTGGGGTGAGCCTTGGGCCCACCCCACCTGCCCAACTCACCCTCTGCACAATCCGGAGGCAGCGTCTCCTCTCACACTTGCAGAACAGCCCTGAGGCCACATCATGGGGTAGCTGCAGGAGGCAGGTGGAGCAGGCCCCACAGTCTTCAGTTACCCGACAGGCTGTACACTCTCCACAGCCCACACGCTGCCAGAAATGGTGAGGTGAGGTTACAGGCCTAAATAGGGTGGCTCCAAGCCCCCTGCTCTCCCATGTCTGCTGATCTGACGCTAGCTCCCATCACTATCATTAACCTCATCACTATTATCTAATAAATACAGATTAGCTGCCCATACTGAAACCACTACTATGTCTACTGGTTCCCTGTTGACTTCATCACAATATCTATTGACAGATACCCCAATTAATTCCCATCACTGAGTTGGTAACCAATCCACAGTTCCCTATAAAAGGATTCCTGCACCCTATGGCTCTATGACTGACCCATCACACCCTCCACCAGCTTCATCACATCTTGGTCCTACTGCAGGGTTGTGAAGAGGAAGCACATGTACTCACCTTAAACATTCTCTGCTCGCGGTTGAAGGCAATTCTCTGTGCTGGGGGAGAGGGAGAGAGAGAAATGGGAAGGGAGCAACTGACACCTGGCCTTACCCACCACCTCAGCCCTGACTTCCATATTCAACTTGTACCTATGCTTCATACTTCCAACATCCAACCTCCACCCATGCCAGTAGTCTCCTCAACTTCCAGCCTAGCCTGACACTGGGCCTGTCCTGGCTCATGTTTTTTATGTCCCATCCTAGGGGGCCACTCACCTCGGCAGTCTTTGCACAATGTCTTGAGCCGCTGCCTTCCAGTACCATCCCCTGAGAAGCTGATTCCACAGTTCTCACAGCACCTGCGATGGAAAAGACAGATATGGGGCCTTAACAGTACCATCACAAATCTCTCCCATCTGGTTCACTTTAGGCCAATACTCACCCAGGTGCAGGGAATGAAGCTGGGATTGTGTCAGTATCAGCCTTGGTCTCATCCTCTTGGGTCTCTTTCCTTTCCTTTCTCTCCTTCCTGATCTCAGTCCTCTGGGGTGCAACCTGACGTTTCCGAGTTTTGGCCGATCTTGCAGGCTTTTTCCGCTTCTTGCTGGGGACAGCCACAGATTGGACCTGAAGATGAGTGAGGGCAGGAGGAATGTGGATCAGTGCATGGGTGTCAGGTGGCACAGTTACCCTTGCCTGGATACATTGTGAAGTACCTTGGGGGTTGGATAGCACAAGATGCCTTGTTTGAAGTCGAAGAGGGTGAGGTCACATGCAGGGCCCAGGTATCGAGTCAGCTCAACTTTGCTTCGGATCCTGTCTCCTGTGGGGCTGAGGATGGGTCAGGATGAGTTGGCACCAAGGTGAAGCCAATGTAGTTCCACCCAGCTCACCCTCCTACAGAGCTAGTGGGATTCAAGAGGCACCCTGGAATTGGCCTGTGAGCCCCATCCAGATCCCACCCCAACCAACTGTGAGTAAAAGGAACAGATGAATAAAAATATCAGCATATTTACAAACATTAATAAATACTACAGTCATGAGCTATATAATGACGTTTCAGTCCACAGCAGATCGTACATTGTAAGATGGTCCAATAAAGATTATAACAGAGCTGAAAAATCGATTACCTAGTGACATCATGGCCATTGTAATGTCAAGCAAAACACATTACTCATTTTTATGGTGACGCTGATGTACACAAACCTACAGCACTGCCAGTTGTATAGCCCATATAATTACATACAGTATGTACTACTTAATAAATATACTTAATAAATGACTACTCCTGGTTTATGTACTTGCTATTTTTGTGTGTGGTAGTGGGATTGAACCCAGGATTTCACTTGCTAGGAAAGCACTCTACCATTGAGCTATATCCCCAGCCCCTTTGCTGCACATTTTATCATTATTTTAGAGTGCATTCCTACTTTTTTTAGTTTCCTTTAAAACAGTACACCATGTGGGGACAGCAGCAGCCTCATCTCTCACATTTGCTGCATTTCTCAATTTCATCATTTTCTCTTGTGTTTGATTTGATCTCATTTTATCATAGCCTTAGGAGCAACAGGATTCAGCATACATAGTTATGCACTGCACAAGGATCAACCGCAAACAGCATATATAAATATCATCCCGTAGACTATATTGCATGGTGAGGCACAGTGGTGCATTCCTACATAATCCCAGTTACTCAGGAGGCTGGGTCAGGAGGATCTCAAGTCCAAGGCCAGTCTCGGCAACTTAGCAAGACCCTGTTTCAAAATAAAAAGGTTGGTAATGCAGCTCTTTAGTAGAGTACTTGTGCTGGCATGTGTGAGCCTCTGGGTTCAATCCCCAGTCCTCTTCCCTGTGGGAAGGTTTGAGGTGGGGATAGCCTAGTTTGTAGAAGTACATTCCATAAGGTTCACATGATGAAATCCTCTAATGACACATTTCTCAGAACACACTCCTCAGCCTAGGCATGTAGAGGTTATACAATCTAAATTTGTGAAAACTGTACTCCATGAGGTTTGTGTAATAAAATCACCTAATAATGCATTTCTCCTAATGTATTCCCATCACTAACACGACTGTATAAAATATAGACACATGGCACTAATGGTATTGAAAATACTTTTTATGAGTAAAAATTAACACAAATAAGAATACATAACATGTAAATATTTAAGTATTATATACCAAATGCATAATCAAGCAAAGAAAATTCTAACAGAAATGTTTAAAAAGCACATAAAGGACTGGGGCTGGGGCTCAACGGTAGTGCACTTGCCTGTGTGAGGCACTGGGTTTAATTCTCAGCACCACATATAAATAAATAAAATAAAGGTCTATCAACAACTAAAAAAAAAATTTTAAAAAAAGCACATAAAAATATTAAGTACATCCAGGTGCAGTGACACACGTCTGCAATCCCAGCAAATCAGAATTTTGAAAAAGGAGGATTCTAAGTTTGAGGCCAGCCAACTTAACAAGTTCCTAAGCAAACCAGCAAGACCCTGTCTCAAAATTTAAAAAGTTTAAAAGGCTTGGGACGTAGCTTAGTAGTAAAGCACCCCTGGGTTCAATCCCCAGTACCAAAAAAAAAAAAAAAGAGTACATAAAATATAAAGTGCCAAGTAGTTGATGCTGAGATACTGGAAGGTTACTCCGTGAGTCTCCATTTCTGCATGTCTCATAAGAGGCATCAGTTGTCCTTTGTAATAAACTATTTTCTCAAGGATGTTTCTAAGACAGACCTTGGAAGATAAGACAGGGTCTCCTTCCGGAGGAAGAGGAAAGCATACTGTCTTAATATTATAAAATAAGCTCAGGGTTTCTTTTCTATAATACAACCCACTGACATGCAGTGCATATGCTATTTAGCCCTCTTCATTCACTGTGGGAATTGGGATTCAGGGAACTACTGGCACTGGATACTGTTGCTGATGTAATAAATTCTTTCATTTCTGACCCAGGAGTCTCATATTTCCTATCAGCATTCATTCACTTGTTATCTTATCCAAAGTAGGGTAAAATCTTGGATCCCTTATAATTCCTGACAATTAAACTTTTAAGTTTTGAGAGGTTAATACAAGTATGTAAATATGTGAAAAAATTAGAACTAAACATAAAAGGAAAGCAATCATATTTGCAGTTTTACTATTTTCCTCTAGGGAAATGTAAACTTTAATAAAAAACTAAGTAAATAATTAATAAAATTAATTAAATAAAATTAATAAAATAATTAATAAAAAACTAAGTAAAAAGCTTAGCTAACTGTATTGTTAATAATTCTAAAACATATGTAAAAGGTTTATAAACATCTGTATATGTAATTACAGTCAATTCTCATTATTCCTGGTAGTTATGTTCTATAAAACTGCCAAGAACCCAGAATTAGTAAGAAAACACTGGTCCATGGGACCAAAACAGGGTTAGGGTCCAGCAAGTCTTTGGCCTCATTTTTATTCAATGATCAAAATATAATCCTTTTTAATGTGTTTCTGTTTAAAGACACCTTATTTTTCTTACAAATTATTGCTTAGGTTTTGAATGTCTCAAAGCCAGGGGATTTGGAGGTTGTTTTCATCACAGATTGGCTTACCACTGTTCCATCAAAACAAATCAGTCTCACTGGCATTAAAAACCTTCTTCTATATAAACCTTTTCTCATATAACACTTTGTAAGTATTTTCCAGATTCCCACCCCCACTCCTCATCTGTAGCTCCTGCACTACATGCAATTTAAACAATTTTCATACCATATCAATAATCTTTTAAAATGTGCAAGCCAACCAGCACTAGCTGAGATGGGTTTATATTTTCCCAATGCTGGACAACGTATCTTTCTGGTGTTTCTCATAACAGTGCTATTCACTATGCTTTATTGCTCATCATTTCATGGATTCACAGATTTAGCTGCTTTCCTAAATCTTTTCCACAGCTTCATTAAGTACCACAAATGTTACTTTTTTTACTTCCCAGTGTGTCCTCACATACAAGTTTCCTCTTCTTTTTCTGGATGTACGGTATATGTTTATACAGTATTTTGGGTCCATAACATTGAAGTCACAGATAACAACATTTTTAATTCATGCCTGAAGGAAGCTTATCTGACACGTATTTTCTGGGCAAAGCACATCACAGCCTTCTTGCACTCAACACTAGACGGTACTTCAGCACTATATATTCAGGCTTTATTTTAAACAGTTAAACCACCAACAAAATAGCATGAAAATGGGAAAAAATATGGCACTAAATAGACCACAAAAAGGAATGCTTGTTTACAATATGGAAGCTGAAACAAAAAGGCCTTGTTCAACCTTGGCTGGGAACATGTGCATTGGGTGACTCAAATTTTTCACTGCTCTGTGAATGCCTGTGAATAACCACGAAAGCACCGTATTGACTTTGGTCAAATAAATTTTATTAAATAGGTGAATTGGCAAATATGAAAACTTTGAATAATAAGGACTGACTATATGTATAATTTAAACTCCACCCACAAAGTTAACCACACCCTTTTATCCTGCCCCTAACCAGGCTTAACCCCACCCAATTCTGACCACAACCCATCTATTACCTCTGGTAATAGGTGTCTGAACGTCCACATGTGACCCCTGACTTGCGATAGACCTCACGACGTTTCCAGCCAGGGCCCAGGGCTGGGCAGTCCAGCCAGTCTTCAGCCATGGAGGCTTCCAAATGTAGTAGCAGCCTGTAAGGTGTGGGAAGAGGAGGGTATAGGAGAAACCAAGGCTTCAGGAAGGGCAAACTGCCCCAGGCCACACAAATAACTGATATCCTATAATGCATGCCTGAAACCTAGGACCTGCCACAGCAGACAGCTGCACACACATATGAGGAAAATCCTCCATTCTCACCCTTCTTCCCTGTCCTGGGCCCAAGAGCTCCTCATTCCTCCTGTTCCTTGACTTGCTAGCCTCCACTGCTCTCAATCTTCAGTGTACTGATTCCCTACTTCTCTTCATCTTCAAACTGAAAGCCCATCATTTCATTCACTGCCTATAAGGTCCCTGCTTAGCATCAAGACAGCCATCTTAAGTGACACAGCCTCCATTTTAAGGAAAAAGTTTCGCTTTCTTGTCCAAGAGTGTTTCTGAGAAAGGCTTACCACTCCCCCATAGCAACCAACCCCTAACCACCCACATTAGGATCCGCCCAGCTCTGATTTCTGAGCCTGCCCCATAAAAGTCCCGGAAATCAAGCCTGTTTTGCCTCTCTCCACTATAGAGAGATGGCCTTTATTCATCAGCTCTGACAAACTCTTGTGTGTATCTCTGCCTGGTCTCTGTCTTTCATTTCTTGCTTACCTGTCTTTCGTTCCTCAATTTCCCTTCATTTTGGTGCCAAAACCTGGAATTGGTTTCCCGGTGTGCCCACTCCCCTCTTTGAGGGTCAATGAGCACCTCCAGGCCCCAATATGAATTCTATTGTGGGACCAGATCCTCCATTCTGCTGAACACCTTCTCCACACCCACCACCGGACATTCCAGTTAAGACTTCTGTTTCTGGGACTTAAGCAATCTATGGGTCCCGGGAAATGACCACTGAACATGACGTATTTCCAGAGTTACCGTGTGGTGGGGGGCACCCCTAGCCACACCTTTCACAGCTGCAGCTGATCCCTACTGTCTAACGAGTCTATAGGTGGTCTTTTATTTGGGCTCTGGGTTTTGAGAAAAAAAAAAACCACCAAGGGCGACTGGGAGTCGTTCCTGGTGAGACTACCTCTCGACCTTGGGTTAATCTCTACGGGCTTCTGCCCCTACTATGTAGTCCTAGTGGGGCGACCAAGTGCCTCTACAGGCTCCTGCCCCAACATTTACCCAGTAATGGCAACAACACCCTGAGCATAACTGTCCTCTTGACTAGGTGATACTGGAGACTGGGGGATGTTCCTCCTCTAAACTCACCTCCTGCGTCTCACCATGGGCAGCTCCTCCTCATCCATTCCCTCCCATAGTCCCCTAGGCTGCTACTTGGCTAACCTAAGGTATCTCGCTCTTTCTCCCTCTCTCTCTCCCTGCCCAGACCTAATGCCCCCCCAAATTATCTGTTTGTGTACAAATAAATCTGGCCTCATTATCCACTGGATAATGACTTTAAATGGCTGCTTAACAGCACTCCAGATCCCAATATTATAAGAGATCTTTTTAAATATTGAGAGCTTTCAGGAAAATTGAAAGAGATAACATATATTCAGGCCTTCTCTTCTCTACATTCTAAGCCCTGTCTCTGCAATACTTGCTCTTTTGCACAAGTCCCCTTAGCTCTCACCTCCTCTACTCCTGCTTCCAAAGGGACAGAAAATCCTACCCAGGACTCCTCCTTCTTCAACCCAGTGGATGTGTCCCCACCATACCACAATTCTCTTTCTGATGAAGCTGCCACAGCAAATATCCCCTCGGCCCCTCCACCCTTCACTCCTCCTGCTACATAGGCTGCCACTGCCCAACCTGCATCTCTGTGTCCTGTCCACAAGAGGGCTGGGGAAGACGGTGTAATCTGGATTCATGTGCCTTTCTCTCAGATCTTTCACAGATAGAAAAGTGGCTTGAGTCCTTTGCTTCAAGCCCCACCACATATATCAAAGAGTTCCATATCTGACTCAATCATTTGATTTGACCTTCAATGACGTCCATATGATCTTTTCTAACAACCTCCTGCATGAGAAGCGCAGGCAAGTTTGGGAACAAGCTAGAAATTATGTTGATGAGGTACATCAGACCTTCCCTGCCCACCAGACTGGCACTGAAGCGGTCCCTGATCGGAATCCCAACTGGGATTATAATTCGCCTGGAGGAGTAACTAGTAGAAACCAATTAATTACTTGCCTCATGGCAGGACTTAAAAAGGCAGCCTATAAGGATATCAATTATAAAAACCTCCAGGAAGTCATCCAAGATAAGAATGAAAACCTTCAGCATTTTAAAATCACCTGACTAAGGCTATATTACAATATACTAATCTGGACCCTGAGACTCCAGATGGGAGACAACTACTAATGACCTACTTTTCTCCCAGAGTTCCCCCAATATTAAGGCCGAACTAAGGTACCTCAAAAGGGGGCCCCTAACTTCCCAAGCTGAGGTTCCGGAAGTGGCCTTTAAGGTATATAATGACAGAGATGAGAAGGCCCAGAAGCAGAAATATCAGATGCTCGCTCAAGCCATTAGTCCGGCCTCAGTATCTGTTCCTGGTTCCACTTGCTCACAGAAGGGTCCCTTGGGACTGCTTGGACTGTTTTAAATGTGGTCAGATGGGTCACTGTACTCATATTATATGTCCCAAGCCTTGCAAGCCTCCAGGCCCTTGTCCTAAATGCCATTAAGAGGGACACTTGGCCATTGACTATCCCTGACTCCTTGGCAGCCCCTGGCCATCGAGCCCTTCTGGTTCCTCTTTCCAACTCTTAGGACTGGCTACAGAAGACTAACGAGTCCCAGGTCCCCATCACCCAACCATTACCATCACTCCAATGGAAACCAGGGTAATTCTGCATATTTCAGGTAGGCCTGAGTCCTCCCTCCTATACACCAGGGCTACATATTCAGTCCTCAAGGAGTTCTGGGGGCCTGCTATCAACCCTTATAGACACCTAGCCTTGTTTGCACTTTTGGCTCTCTAATTTTTACCCACTCCTTTTTGGTCATCTCACAGTGCCCTGTTCCCCTTTTGGGAAGGGACATCCTCACAAAGTTGGGGGCTATGCTTTCCTTCTCCCCTCATATATGCTTCCATCCAGACTTGCCAGCTGCTCCCCTGATCCTCACCCTTACCTTAGGACCATCCCCTATTCTGTCTGCCAGTGCTTTCCCATTACCCGCTTCCAAGGTGGACCATACTGTCTGGATATTTCAAGTCCAATTGCTTCCTACTACGAGCCCATTCACATAAGGGCTTACATTCTTTACACCCTGTTGCCTTTTATCTCTACAGGTTTCTCTGATGAAAGATCCCATCTTATCTGGAAGGAGAGTGGATTCCTTACCACCAAAGGAACCTCAATTACTAATGCCCCCTTTATCTCTGATCTCCTTCAGGCCTCAAAGCTTCCCACTGCCATCAGCATCTCATATTGTAAAACCCATAAGACAGACACCTCCTTTGTGACACTAGACAACAACAATGCAGACTCTGCCCTCCAACAGCGAACTCCACCTGCAGTCCTCTGCCTTGCTAGTTCCCTAATGGATTCTTCCCCACCTGACACTCAACAGATACTTACCTTCCTTCACAACCTCTTTCACCCTAACACCACATCTTTAAAACAATTTCTCACTTCCCACCTTAAACTCTCTCCAGAAGACCTACAATTTCTTTCTACCCTCTCTGCCTCATGTGAAATTTGCCAAAAAGACAATCCCACCTCCAATCTCTGCCCACCTGCCTTCCCTTTAAACCAGGCAAGAGGACAGCTCCCTTGCTCTGATTGGCAAGTGGATTTCTCCCATATGCCCCCGTCAAGCGGTACTAATTTCTCTTGGTACTCATCAACACCTTCTCGGGATGGGTTGAGACTTTTCCTACCACAGTGTGCTCCCACAGTGGCCAGCATCCTCATTGAACACATTCTTCCTCGATTCGGCCTCAACCTCCTTGCTCCAGTCTAATAATCATCCTGAATTTACTTCCCATATTTCAAGGTCTGTAGCTAAGGCACTCAACATCTCCTGGCATTTTCTTATCTCTTATCATCCTCAGTCCTCTGGAAAGGTGAAATGTACCAACTGAACCTTGAAGAACATTTTCACTAAATTATCCCTTGAATTACATTTAGATTGGACTAAACTCCTTCCCTTGGCTCTTCTTAGGTTACGGGCCCTCCCAAAGAAGCACTCAACTTCTCCCCTTTTGAACTTCTATATAGACTGCCTATCTCCCTACTCAGCTCACCAAAATTGGGCAGCCAAGGGCAGCATTCCACCACCACTCAATTTCCATCATCATTTCAATGACATCCTAAGCCCCTACTGACAACTCAAATGCTGCCCCTTCCCAGCAGGAAGCAGTTACAGAAGACTGACATATGTTCCCGTTCCCTAAGGGACCCAATAAACAATAAAAAGGGGGGGAAATATAAGGTCCTTGCTTAGCATCTAGGCAGCCATTTTAAGGAAAAAGTTTTACTTTCCTGCCCAAAGGCGTTTCTGAGAAAGGCTCACCACTCCCGCATACCAACCCAACCCCTAACCACCTGGAACCCAAGCCTGTTTTGCCTCTCTCCACTATAGAGAGATGGCCTTTATTTGTCAGCTCTGACAAATAAACTCTCATGTGTATCTCTGCCTGGTCCCCATTTTTCATTTCCCTTACCTATCTCTCGTTTTCCTCAGTTTCCCTTCACTGTCAACCCAAGAAACTTATCCCCCACCCCGGTCATCTCCACCTGTCCTTCGTACAGAAGACACTAGCTGTCTTTGACCTAATAGTCCTTATTCTTCCTCTTATCACCCTAAGACCTGCCCCTAATACTTGCAAAGTTCAGTACAAGAGGCCCCATTTTGCTTGGTTTTAGTCGACTATTTTAGTTTTCTGAACTCCTATTCCCTGCTTCTTTAACCCACAATTTTCCAATTTCTTTTTCACTGTTTTAACTGTTCCATTTCTTCCCCACATGTGATACCTTCTTAGCCTACTATTTCAGAGTTATAACCTTCACCACAGACCTTCCCTGAGACAGACCCCAACGCCACCATATTCTTTCCATTTCTCAGCCTGGAAGCCCCCATGTCTCCCCTTCTTCAGCACAAGAGCTCGGCAAGCGTTATTTCTTTCCTCTCTCAGGGTTCTGACCCATAGTTCCTCCCCAAGCACAAAGCAAAAACCTATGTCTCTCCTCTGCAGCCAAAAAGTCATCCCTCTTCCCCTTCAACTTTCTCAACCTCCATTCTTCTCTTATCAGCCTGAGAAATTCTGACTTCTCCCAACACACACATATTCTCCACTTTTGTGTCCAGGATCATGACATCCCTGGTCAGCCTCTGACACCGCCCCCCCTTCTTTCTAGTCCTGCATGGAAGTTTTCCTCCTTCCTTTCAGTATTCCAACCCTAACATTTTTTTTGTCATCAGGCCGAAGGCCCCTTATTTCTTCTTTTCAACGTTCCGAACCCCCATCTCTCTCTCCTTGAGAAGCCCGATATCTCCCCTTAGGCGTTCTGATCTTCCTCATTCTTCTCCGTCTTCTTTCCCAGGATCCCGACACTCCTGTCAGCATTCTGAGCCATATTTCTTCCCGTCCTCCACCTAAATCCTTCCAGACCTCCCTTTCAATACTCCGGCGCCGCCATTCCTCCACCTCCTCAGCCTGAGGACCTTTCATTCCTCCCCGGCAGGGTTCCGAGCCTCAATTCCTTCCCATTTTCCGCCTGAGCGCTCTCCATTTCCACTCCCACGGCTATCTCACCAGCTTGGCACCGGGCCGGTAGCTTCCGCCGCCCTAGGCCTGAGGACCCATGGTGAGGGTCCTGTCTGCGCGTCCCGCCTGCCCTAATTCCTCTTCCTCCTCCGAAGCAGTCTTCTCGTAAGCAGTAGCTGTCGTCTCCGCGGCCGTTCGCTGCTCCCGGAACCGGAAATCCGCCGCCTGCCCCTCGGGCTCCACCCACGACGTGACACCTGCGCGCTGCCCTGACGGCGCGTGCCCTTAGAGGGGAGACTCCCGCGCCTGCGCACTGAGGCTCCACAGCGGCGCGCGCCTTGTCGAGGATCTGCTGCGCCTGCGTACTGTCTCCAACTGCGTCAAGCGCCCGGGTCAGAGGCTAGAGGGGCCTGCTGTGGCGCCGGCGGTCCTCGCTTCCCCTGCCGGCGCATCTTACCCACGCTGCCCATCCAGGTGGCGCCTGCGCACCCCAGTTATACCCTACGGGGGGCAGTGAACCGCTTGATTTGTGCCTGTGATCTCTTCCACAAGTAGTCCGCTGGGGAGGCAAAGCAACGGTTTGGGTTTGCGCGCTTCCTTTCCTAGGTGACACTTTCTTCACCACTCCCCGCGAACCTCTCCCCAGGGCTAGAGAGTTCTGCTTTCTCCGCCCCCGCCGACCAGCAGCTCCCTCCCCGGGAACCTGGGAAGGGGGCGGTGGCGCGCTGGGAGTGAGGGTGCGTCTCCCTCCCAAGAGCCACAGTGGGGAGAGCACTGTATGGGGTCCTGGCACAAGCACAAACAGTGGGCTCCTGATGTAAACAGGTCCTCCAGGAGGGGCTTGGGGGAGATGGCCTCTGTAAGAGGCTGAACGTGCCTTTGGTCTGCTGAATGTTACTTCCACAGGGGATGGCTGCTGACTGGATACTACTGACCCAAGACTACAGGCTGACTGAGTAGGTCTTTGGGCTCAACCCTGGCAGGGCATATTCTCACAGCCCAAGGGAGCATAAAGTGTATGCCAACTGTATACTCACAGCCTACACATGTGCTGCAGCCCAGCCTGAGTACAGACATACCACCACCCATCTTATCCAGGGGTTGGGAATGCAGTTGTAACTGGAACACACGTGGAGACCATCAGGAGTTATCTGCTTGGTTCTTCAAAATTTTATTAACAAAACCAGGGGAGAAGGGAAGCAAGGGTGAGTAGACTCCACAGTCCCACCCAGGCACAGAAAATGGAGAGAGGGAAATTCTGAAACCCTTTAGGCAGTCAAAGGTGGATAGGCACAGGGAGAAAACTCAGGGACAATGGAAGAAACAAATAATGGAGAAATGGACAAAAGGGGATTCCGGGCCACTCCCCCAAATGGAATGCAGGGTGAGGGCTCTGAATCCGTAGGCTCAGCGGTCGGCACTGGAGCGCAGGTCGGTAGTGAGTGGGTCATGCTGGATGGTTTGGTGCAGCATCAGGGCCAGTAATCCTGCCCGGTTTGTCATGGCTGTGCGTACATTGCGCTCTTGTTCAAACAGCTCGTCCAACTTGTACCACTGCCAAGTGGGTGGAAGGTACCATGAGAAGGGGAATCCCAAAGCCCCGCTTGACCCTAGCCACATCCATCATTGAAACCTACCACCCGTACACGCTCCAAGTCCACTTCAGCACGTCGCAGCTTCTCCCAGCAGTAATGGCGATTGCACTGGCGCTTCGGCAAGCGGCAGAAATCACCTGTGAGCTCAAAGACATCACGTACAAGGGGGCAACCGCATACCTCATCAGCTGGCACCTGCAGGAACACCAGAGTACAGATAAATAAGGATAGTGAGGAAGAAGGGAGAGTGAAAAGAGGAAAGGGCAGCGATAAGACAAGGAAAGAGAAGGGAATGGAAGTTGTCATAGAAAGGAAGAAGGGCAGCTGATGAAGGAAAATATGGAAGTGAGACATTGAGGTAGAAAGGGGCAGAATGGAGGAAACTGAGGAAAAATCTTACTTTGGGATCCCGAGAGTGCTCAGGACATAGCACCTGGAGCCGCTTACAGTATGTTTTGCTCTGAGGATTATAGACATCACAGAAGAGTCTTGTGGCCCTGGTGGTTTGGAGAAGGTAATGGAGAGAGAGAAGAAAAGAGGCCCACCTATCCTTGCCCCTGCCCATTTCCTGCCCTGGCTCCACATGTTCTATTTCTGAGCCCACCCTTAATCCAGCCCCAACTCTTCATGGCACCCCACTCACCCTTCAATGCGTGTGGGGTACATGGACCCAAAGGACGTCTGGCTCTCATACTGAAAGGATGAGCACAAATGGAAGGAACTGTGGGTGTGCGCTGCATGCCCTCCCAAGTCACCATCCAAACAACAAATCCATCCCCCATGGGCCGACTCATGTTCCCAAACCATCTATCCCCTCAGGCTGACACCCCAACCTTAGCATAGCAGCGCTCCATGTGGCGCAAGGCAACACGTGGGTTGATGGGGTGCCCACAGGAGACACAGAAGATCTGTAGGTCTGTGTCATCACTGTCGTTCTCGTTGCTCTGCGGGATGTGAAAGGAATGATGAGACCAGGTGGGATTAGGTACTAAGCCATGTCCTAATGTATACTCCCTGCATCCTTACCTCTTCATCCTCGCGCACAGCCTGCTGCTTGGCACGAAGAATGATGGCCTCGAGCTCATGGAATCTGCGTTCCATTTCCTGAAGACGGGTGCGGGCACTCTGCTGCTCCCGGCGAATACGTTCAAGCAGCTTTTTGCCATGTTCTTCAGCAATGCAGGGGCTCTGCTGCCACTGCTGAATGCGCTGGGGAAGGATCTCATAGATGCGGCTGCAGGAGGGCAGTGGGTGGGGTATAGGCAGGGAAGATGGCAAACAGGTGGTCAAAGGATAGCAAATGGAAGGGTGATGAAATGGTGAAAGGGGAAGTAAACAGGTGAATGGCTAATGCTACATGGATGGGCAGAAAGATAGGTTAATGGATGGGCAAATGGGTATATGGATAGGTGTGAGACTGACTGACCAAATGGTAAAAAGGTACTGGTAGATACACTGAAAATTCTAGTGATGCTCTATTATGTACTTCTTACCTCCCTCCTCCCACCCCTCCATGCCAGGAAAGACTCACTTGGCAGCCAGTTTCATGCCACAGTCATCTGAGCAATACTTGGAGCCAGGCTGGGCAGCACGCACACAGCCAGGCCCCAGGCACTGCGGTAGTGATGCAGGGTCCTTAGCATCAGCTCTCTCTGGGTGTTTCCATTTGTCCTTGTGTTTCTGCTTTTGCCGATGTCTCTTGTATCTCTCCTCCTTCTGTGGTTAAGACAGGTCAGGGGGGAATCTAAGTCAGCTTCAGGTCCTGTCTCCCCCTCCATTCTAGTCTTTTCTGGCTCTTCTCCCACTTATCCCCTTATCTAATATTTCTGCCTCCCCCCCCCACCCTCTACCTTCCCACAACCATTTTACCCTCTCCATCACCTTCTTCTCAGACTTCTTCTCCCGACGCTTCACATGCTTCACTTTCACTGCTCTTTTCCGTAGGGCAGGGTCGAGGAATGGGGACTCTTCTGTGTCACTCATCCAGGGCTGCAAGCAGGGCATGCACTGACCCTCTTGCCTCATTCCTGACAGCCCTATCACCTGCTTATTTCCCAATAACCTTATATGCCCTCCACCTCCACTCTCCCCTTGGGAATCTCTCTGTTTCTAGAACTGCCATCCTCCCACCAAGGGAGGCTCCTGCTGCTCACTAGGCCATGGTCATCAAAGGCCCCTGCACAGAAGTCCTGGTACAGGTCAGGGTCCAGTGGTAGGTCTTCATCAGAAAGTGGCTCAGGTGTGGCTGTAGCCTCAGGTGGCTCCTTAACTGCTGATGATGCCACTGCCCCCTCATCTTCACGGATGCGCCCCAGCTTCTGTGATGGCTGTGGCTGCTGTTGAGTGGGTGGCGGCCGGCGGGGCCTTGGCAGGGACTCTGAAGGCGTCACCGGCGAGAGCTGCAGGGCAGAATCTCAGGACTGGCCCTGACCGCCCTGCCCGCATGCCCTGCCCCGCCCTGGGGGGCTGGACTCACCGAGGAAGGGAAGTACTTGTACGATTCCTGTGCCGGCAGGAGGAAGGCCCAGGTCAGCCCCAGGTAGACAGAGGGTGGCCCTGCCCTAACCCTCCCCCCTAGCCTTGCTTTGCCTCCCCAGACATATCTGCCACCATTTCTCTCACCACCAGAACAGGCTTAGCCCTGCCTATTGTACTCTGACATGCCTGACCACCTGCCAACACTTGCCCCCCCCCCCACCCACCAAGATTTGGTGGGGTTCACTTGCCAGCCCAGCATACCTGTTCATGCAGCATTCATGTGGACATGCTAGGCCCTTTCCCACATGTCTGGATACAATCGGGCTCCATCCCATCTGGTCCCCCATTCCTAGCCTCAAACAGCCCTGCCTGTACCTCCCAGCCATGCACCCCGACTTGACCCTGTCCAGCTGTGTCCATGCTCACCCGGGCCCGCAGCTGGCACTGGCGCAGCCGGCACTTCTGCCGGATTTTGTTGGGCCCCCCAAACTTTTTCATGTCTCGGCAGAAGTCACAGTGGCCACAGTCCTCAGTGCGCCGGCATGCTTCACACTCCCCGCACATTCGAGCTGACCTTTTGATCTGCTGCTGCTGCTGGTGATGCTAGGAGACAGTGCCCAGAATAGAAATCAGGAACCTAGAAACAGCTATGATGGAACCACTGTACCCATCCTAACCACTGCAGCCACTCACCTGGCTGGGTGTGGCCACCAAGGGCTGTGGAGAAGATTTATGGGGCGAAGCAGAGCCCCGAGCAAGCATGGCCCCAACCCCTGTCCCGGACCCTGCCCGGCGCTGCAGGTCTGGATCTGGGACAGGTCTCTTGCGCCCTCCACCCTCATCCCGGGGCTCACTGCCGTCCCGTTCATTGCCGTCCCGCTCTCGAGACTTTTTGTGCCGATAGCGAATCTCCAGCTTAGGGTCCTTCTCTGTGGGACAGAAGGTTGGGCCAAGATGGATTAACAAGGAGTTAATCCTCTTTCTAGAACCATCCAATGTACCTGCTCTGCCCTCCTGCTTGAGGGCAGAGCTGCCCCTTCCTGTGGAATCCTCTATTACTGCTCTCAATGAGGCCTGCATTCCAGCTCAGCACAGACCAAGAGTCACTATGCCTACAGCCATATACCAC